AAAAAAAAAAAAAAAAAAAAAAAAAAAAAAAAAAAAAAAGAAATATTGGAACATGCTTACACTAATTAAATTTTGAAAAAAAAAAAAAACTTGTGGAGTTTTGACTGATTCAGTCAAACAGCTATTTTGGTACCATTTGGTCATTTGTATATCATGAAAATATCCCTGAACAATCTGGATTTATAACACACAATATAATATGTCAGTATTCAAAATAAAATTATCCAAGGTTGTAAAAAAAAAAAAAAAAAAAAAAAAAAAAAGTGAAGGGGAATTCCATCTTAATTTAAACAGAAATCAGGGGAACGTGACATTTGTTTTCACAAGCTGAAATAAAGCATTTTCAGTAACCTTATACAGTTGTGTTAGTGTGGGCTCAGCACTTTCCTCATGTGCTCAAAGGGTGATGCCCTCAGGTGTGGAACTTCCCAAAACTGAGGTTGCCAGGGGCTTATGAAGGGAGCGGCTCCTGTGGGGATGAGAGCAAGCTCCGGACACAAATCTCCTGGGCACAAAGCTTGATAAAGGACTTCCACTTCTGGAAATTTTTGCTCCCATGGATAGCTCCCACTGAGAAGAACCAGAGGGTGGCAGAATAGTTAATAAGGTGGTTCAAAGAGTCAAGTACCATCCATCTTGTCTCGTACTTTTTGGCCTTGTGTTTGGCTCTACCAACTAACAGAGGTGCACTTTTGCAGCTGCCCTCCAGGGCCCGTCAGGTGGAAAATGGCTTGTTAATTCCAACTCTGTTCATACAGACTAATGCCTTTTGTGGACAGGGAAGGGTGGTCCCATTTGAAGATGGGGGTTACACTGAGAGCTAGACAGCCACCCATCACATGGAGAAGAAGTGGTCACTCTATCACTTGCAGTCTCAACAAAAAAAAACAACAAGAACAGTACTTGCACTTTAGTTTGGGGAACTGCCTGATTTATCTTTAGAAAGAGGTGGTATATAAATAAATTCTGTAAATAGAGTTGAAGAAGCCACAACTCTTAGACTTAGAGAAGAAACTTTGAAGAAGGTCAAGCCTACGGTTTCCTATATTAAACTATCCTGGGGCAAGAAAGAAGATTCTTACTGGGAAATCACCTATATTTCTTCTCTTTCATCCACTTTTTTTTTCAAGGGAGAAATTAAATTAAAGAGTCAGTTTTTAAACTGCTTCTAATTGCAATGATTGTATCTTTTTGAATCTTAAAACACCCTCCCTCTCCCCTTCCCTTGTGGTTACAACTCTCTTTTCACAAGCCCTTAAAAGGGCTATTATGAAGCTTCAGTGAACTTTGAATTGTTCTAATTTCAACATAGTTTAGAGGCCAGGATGCTAAGAGCAACCTTTCAAAGTAGGAGTGGAGGTTTTCCATAAAGGGATCTGACCTCGAACTTTCTCTACTTAACTCAGTCAGCACATTTTAGCATTCAGTGCCATAATTCTATCTTTATAATAGTAAAAAGAGAAAGAGAATTATATTGATTACTAATCTTGCTCAAAAGGATTTCAGGAACAAAAAAGCGGATCTGTGAGTTTCCAAAAGTATGCAAGCGCAGAAATGGCTAAGTGTGATCAGTCTGTGTAGACATATTAAGCTCTTGTCTCTTTCTGACTTTCTTTTAGAAACTATAACCAGCAGAGCATGGATATCTGATGTAGCCTCATTTCACCAAAAACTTTTGGGAAGTTACTAAAGAATTAATAAGTAGACTGATTTGCTTCTTAGCTATGTCCTAATTCTTTTAGTGACTGGGCAAATAAAAAGAACAATAGACAAAAGCTGTTCATACCAGATGAGAAAAAAATAAAAGAAGAGATGGTGAAATAATCTACAATAATAGATCCCCCAAAATGTGAAAAAGATATATCACTTTTGAGACCTAGTACATGAGAGATGAGAATTGGTCCAGGATCATACACTTAGGTAGTACTTTAGATTGGCACACATGGCATCTCATTTAATCTCCTTAAAATCGTGTGAGATAGGTAGAATATTTTTATGCCTCTGGGCAGGTTAATAGTATAAAGGTTGGCAGAGCTAAGTGAATAATAGTTCATGGTCACATAGTTAATAATGGTTAAACCACACTTGAATCCATATATTCAGACTTTAATTTTTGTATGCTCATTCCAGTGTGCTTATAAGAAGAATACTAATCATTTCTTGAAGTACTAGTACTAGTAAATAATTCCCCCATATCCTTAAAGAATGAATGGGGTTCCTAATACCATCTTGGTGCCAAAGAGCCCAGTTGATTCTTGCAATTTCTAAAGCAAAATAAAACTGAAGTATATACATTATTAGTCCAAAGCTCACACAAAAAGGGTGTTGTGCTTCAAAGTAGTTTCGAAGACAGTATGGTCCTTACAAGGCCATAAGCTCAAAGGCTTTTTAAAAATGCATGTTAATAGTTGCTTTTGGAACCAGATTTCAAACTACAAAATAAAACATTCGTGTTATTTGATAATTGCACCTGGTTATTTCTACAAATAAAAAAACTAGTGTTACCTATCAGACTCGACCTTATTTTACACACCAAATTTGACTTTATTCTTTATAAAATCAGATTTACCATTCAAGAATGAAAACTGGGTCAACAAAGGAGTTTAAAAAATGCTTTGATTTTATAGCATCGTTAAAATTATGTATCTCCTACCAATGTGACGCTTTGAAGTGGGCACTACTGATATAGCTGTGTAGTTCCAGTTTATTAAAAAGCAATCACATTACTTTGTAATGACCTTGAAGAAAACATCCTGTTTCCCAATGTTTTATAAGTAGTAAAAGAGGAAAATAAGAAAACAAAAAATTTAAAATCCACTACCCCGGCAAACAGCAGTAGCAGAAACAACACATTGGTATTATTCTTTTTGTTTAATTATTATTTTTGTTTTAAAGATGTGGGGTACAGTTCAGGGTTAGGTACATAAATGATCATCATGCAGGTAAAGTTTGGGTACCCTGATAGATGTTATGTTCCCCTACTTCCCTTCCCTGGTAGCGTCCCACTACTGCCATTCCCTTTCTTATAGTATTATGGTAAATGCTCAGGGTCTGCTTACGAGTGAGAACATATGGTACTCAGTTCTTTGTTTCTGTGATAAATCATTGAGTATTATAGACTAAATCCATCCAAGTTGCTGTGAAGTTCATAATTTTGTTTTCCTTTATGGCTGCATAATATTCCATTGTGTATATGTACCACTTTTTTTTTTATCCAGTCCAGTTTCAATAGGCAGCACGGTTGGTTCCATGTTTTTGCTATTGTGACTAGTGCTGCAATAAACATGCATGAGCAGGTATATTTTTCATAGAGTGATTTGTGTTCTTCTGGGTCTATTCCAAGAAGGGGCATTGCTGGGTCATATGGAAGATCGATTTTTAGATCTTTTAGAAATCCCTACACTGTTTTCTGTAGAGAACCAAATAAAAAACACAATCCCATTCACAATAGCCACACACAAAAATGAAATACCTTGGCATATTTCTAACGAGAGTAAGTATTATTCTTAAAAAGACAATCAAACATGACTGAGTACTGTTCTCTAAATCCCAGACCATTTACCCAACTTTGCCTGGCATAAGAAGCATTTTTCTTTTCTTTTTTTTTTTTTTTTTTAGTCAGAGTCTATGACCCAGGTTGGAATGCAGTGGCACTCTCATGGCTCACTGCAGCCTCAACCTCCTAGGCGCAGGCAGTCCTTCCACCTCAGTCTCCCTAGTAGCTGGGACTACAGGTGCACGCCACCACACCTGGCTAATTTTTTAATTTTTGTAGAGACAAGGTCTCACTATGTTACTCAGACTGGTCTCGAACTCCTGGGCTCAAGTGATCCTCCTGCCTCAGCCTCCCAAAGTACTGAGATCACAGGTGTCAACAACCACACCCATCGATAAAAAGCATTTTGGTAACAGAATTAAGATCCTGAGTTTTATTCTAGCTCTGACTTGTGGAATGATCTGACGTAAATGACTTTTTTCTCTTTCAGAAAAAAGATGGGGGCAAGCAGAAGGTGGGTACCCTGCACTTCAAAGGTATTTTATTCCCTCCTGGATCTTCATTTCTGTGCCTTTCCCCTTTGCAGGCAGCATCGCCGCCATCACTGTGACCGTCATTGCCGTGGTGTTGTTGGTGTTTGGGGTTGCAGCGTACCTAAAGATCAGGTGAGACACACCTTCCTCTCCTTGATAAAGAAAATGGTCCCATCTTGTGGGGCTCCAGACTGAGAACTGTTTTGCTGAGTGCTGGCTCCTTACTAGGTACTTAGCCCTCAGGGAAGTGAATGGCCATCATAGCCCACTCTAGGCAGGAAGAGATGGTGCACTGTCTGAACCTCTGAAAAACCAAAGAAACACAGCATGATGATGCAGTGGAGAGAGATTTAACCTGGAGTCAGGAGATTGAAGGCCAGGTTCTCTGCCCTCAATTCATCACGTCACCCTGGGAAAACCTCCTAAACCTCAAGTTTTCTCATCTGTTTAATGAGTAGAAGGGTGAGATCAACGGTTCCTAAGTACTAATGTTCTGAATACTGATTTGCGGGCTTGTACTCCATCTGCTAATGAGGCTTCACTCGTTCTGATACAAAATGTAAAAAATATAAGGAAAGTATAGCATTTTCTATAAAACTGGGGCTTGGGGTTTTAAAATATCTCTTCTCTCATGAAGTAAAATGATGGTAGCTGAGATTTTACTCTACGTAGTCAAATAGAAAGTCACCTCATTTTTGTTTTCAATCTCTCTGTGAGATCCCAGCCTCAAAACCACATTACTCACACTTTCTGAGTGTCCTTCCAGCTGTAAAATGCCAGCTGGCAAGTGGCAGTCATATTTGCCAATCTGTGCAGTGCCCGTAACAAGGGACAGAAGGACACAGGCTGCCATGGTGAGCATAACCACCCATGCCCACCCACACATTCTCCTCCCAGCAGCCCGACTGTCTCTATGAAAGCTCCTCTGTCCTGTCCTTATGCCCTGAAAAGCCCCAGTGACTCCCTCTGCACTGAGAATTAACTGCTCAGTGTGGCTCCCGCAGTCCTCATAGACCTGCCCTGCCTCACTCTTATGGGTCATCACATCTCTTACCTGATCCAGTCACCGGCTTCCTCCCATTCTTAGGACATACCAGGTTCTTTCCGTCCTTCCCAGGGCATGGCTCTTGCAAACCCCTCTCCCTGAGATGTGTTCCTTATGCAACATATGATGAGACTCTCTTCTTTTTTCTTTTTTATTTTGAGTTGGAGTCTCACTCTGTCGCCCAGACTGGAGCGCAGTGGCCACTCCCAGCCACCGCAGCCTCGACCTGCTGGGCTCCGGCGATCCTTCCGCCTCAGTCTTCCAAGCAGCTGGAATTACAGGCTCGCGCTACCACGCCCGGCTAATATTTTGATTTATTGTAGAGATGAGGTCTCGCCAAGTTGCCGGGCAGGTCTTGAACCCGCGGGCTCAGTCAATTCACTCACCTCAGCCTCCCAAAGGGGCGGGATTCTCATCTTACTTCCTCCATGAGGCTTCCCTTCCAGTTTGGGGACCCTATTATTGATTCTCTGTGCCTTACTTATATCCATCCTGGCTCTGATCATTGTCTATGATTTGGGTCCATATATATATATATGTATATATGTATATAATATATATATATTTGCAGCTAATTTAGTGCCTGTGTTCCCCACAAAAACGTAAGCTCCATTAGCACCAGACTTTATTCATGAACCCGGTGCTGGGCACCAAGATGATGCTTGATAAACTGAAGTGAACAACAAAACATAAGAACACGCAATCCCACCTGGGCATAGATGCGTATGCCTGTAATTCCAGCAATTTGGGAGGCCAAGACAGGAGGACTGCTTGAGCCCAGCAGTTTGAGAGCAGCCTGAAAAACATAGCGAGATTCTATCTCTATAAAAACAAATTTTAAAAACAATACACAATGCCACAGGCACTGTGGCACACACGGACACTCCTGACTCATCCTCTCCACAACCATGTTTCTTCCTCAAGAGGCTGTGCCCACCCTGTCTTTTCCTCCTGCCCTGCTTCTTTGCCTCCTGCCCTGCTAGCTTGAGGATATGATTTCTCATCTCCCTGCACACATCTGCTCTGCTGTTCCTCTCATCACCACTTAGCCCAGTGCCCACCAGGGAGCTCTCCCCTCCTCCTCCTCTTGCATCTCCCTCATTCTAGTGTTCTAAAAGTGCACCAAATCAATATAATGATAGCATAAAGTAGGAAACCGCCTTGTAATATCATGTGTCTAAGGTACAAAGAGCAGGAAAGCCAGGTTTTGAAGAGAAATTGAAATTAAAGGACCAGTGCGACCCACGTCTAATGAAAAGCTTTATAAAAGCATCCAGAAGTTCCCTTCAGATTTTAAAAAACGTTTCTCTTTATTAAATCTGCATTTCCTTAAGCACCAAACCTAATTTTATAAATTACATCTTACTAATGCTACCTTTTTCTATCTGGTGTAATTACTAGTTTATTGCAACAGGTATGCTGTGTTTTAATTATGAGTTAAATTGGCTTTTATGAACTACTCTGGAAACCTCATTTTTATTTTGTAACAAAGAGTCTGTTGAAAAATAGGTTCTGAGAAAGAAACTTACACATAAATTTTAGAGTCACTCTGGAATCACCAATGATGAGTTGCTGAAGGTCTGTCACCGAAAACACCATCTTTCCTGGAGTTTGGAGTGAGATAGAAACATTTCTTTCTTGCGACACACTTCTCAAAAATGGTGTTGGCATGACCTAAAGGACTCTTCCTCTTGACTTTAGTAAAGGATTCAAGTTTACCATCTCCAAACAAACAGTGGCTACAGGCAGTCTAGAATAGTAATTAAGAATTCAGACTCCAGGAACAGGAAAACTTCCAGTTTGGATTCCAGTTCTTCTACTTTGTGACCTGGGTGTGTTACGGAGCATCACTAACCCTCATTCCCCACCTGTAAAATAAAGGCAGCAATATTAACTACCTTGCAGCATTGTTGGGAGTGTTCAAGGATGCTTCTTCCCAAGTACATAGCACTGCCAACATCACCATCAGAGTGGTAAGTGGGAAGGAGCCGCAGGAAGACAGTCCTCCATAGATAGTCATGGAGCACCAGCGTGTGCCAGGAATTTTTCTAAGCACTGGAGTCACACCTGTGATGAGTTCTGCCACCACTGAACTTACTGTGCTTGGAAAATTTTGTTAGTAGGCCATTGCAATTTGTTCTGTACTGATTAAAATTTTATTTTAAACTATATTTTCTCCCAGGTCTTATGAACACCAGATAAATTAAGTAAATGATTAAACTGAATAAATAATTATTTCCCTCCCCCATATAGGCTGTCTCTCCTAAATGTAGAAAGGTCCACAATAATATAAATCTAGGGTTGCTATTTATCTATTATGCTACTTGAGTTTTGGTGCTATAAACTTAAGAATGGAAACACTTATCAGACCTTTAGGGGATTTTAGAAATCCCCTAAAAACAAAGGAAAGTCTTTCTGCTCCACTACTAATTATTTTGGTAAAATGATAACATAAGGAGATTAATAGCTTTTATGAATCTTAAGGCTATGCTAAAACCTCTTCAAGTGTTATTTTGCCAATTCTTGGAAAGCCCCACTAATTATTGACCAAAAATACAGCTGGCTCAATTGATGTGTATGTGTGTGAATATTTGCACCTAAAGTCAGGCTTTGCTTTGGCTGGAAACTTACTCTGCTTCTATCATCCCAGATTTCTGAGAACAATAACATGACAAGCGGTCTGTTGTCCTGTGGTCTTTTAACTCACTTGGCTAGAGCAGCGAGTGACTAAAATCACAACTCATAAGGGAACCATTAGCTTTTGGCCTACAACCACAGGCTATAGCCCTGACCCAGCCAATGTCCCTATAAATGCAAGAAGAGAGTCTGCTTGAAAAAGCAGCCTCACAACCAGAAAAACAGCAAGACTTGCAAGCTAACTATGGCTTAGTACTTTCACCTTTCTTCCCAAATCCTCATTTTCTCTAGTGGCATTGCAAGCTCATCAGCCATCTGTTTTTCACACTCCCATTCTCCAGGGATCCGTGACCCCTAGTTTTGTCACAGTGTCCTCTACATGGAGAACCGTATCTTTCTGTAACCCGAGCTACTTTTGGAAGAGGCTTATAAAAATGCACTGCTTTGAACATAGGTGCAGAGGGAGAAATATGAGCTTTTGCAGTCAAGTTCAATACCGACTCTTCTATTTAATATGTAGGTGGCCTTGGGCAAATATAATCTCCCAGATCCTCAACTTCTCCAATCTGCAAACATAAAACTAATACTCTGTAGCTTTCAAGTTTGTTTTGAAGATGAAATTAGGTCATGAGTGCAGAGTACCTGGAGAAATCATAGCATGATGGCTAAGGACACAAACTACGGGGCAAGTTTCTTAATCACTCTGTGCTCAGTTTCTTCATTTGTAAAATGGGACTGTAATAATAATAATAAAAATACCCACTTTAGGACTATTGTGAGGATTAAATTATGATGCATATAAACATTCAGTGCCTGGTATGAGGGGAAGGTGATGGAAGAGCTAGCTACTGTCACTGCCGTGGTTGTTAGAACAGAGCTTAGCATGCAGATGCATGGTAAAATGGTAGTTGTCAACAGTAGTGTGTGATTGGAAGAATGACCTCTGTCCTGCCATTTCCATTCAGTAGGCATGAGAGCTTTAAGAGAGAGGGAAGAGGAAGATGGCACAGCAGCTCGGCTTCCTAATTGTGTATAGACATGACAGGCTTCCAGGCTCCATTTTGGCAGTTTCAATGGTGCCACACTGAAATGTCTGTGCAGTTGCATCCACGTTACATATTAATAAATATAAACAATCTCTGAGCAGTCTTTATTCGGGCCTTGTTTGCAACTTTAAAAGAAAGCAGGAGATTCTGGGCAAGATGGTGACAGAATAGGTAGGACTGTGAGAATCTTCACAAAAACGAGTGCTTTTAAAGACTCTTCATGAGTGGGTGTGTGTGAGTGGGTGAGTGAGAGTTGGTCTGAAGGGATACTTGGATGCATGCACCTGGGGCTTTCCACCTGAGATGACTGCAACCCACCACCGCCCTGAGATTGGAGACCTGCGTGTGCAGGATTATATGCCGTTCTCAGGGCTCTCTTGAGAGGAGGCAGAAGAGAAAGTTGC